AGGGGGAGAGAGAGAGAGAGAAACACTGATTGATTGCCCCTCACACACACACCCCTGTACTGGGGACCTGGCCCCACAACCCAGGCATGTGCCCTGACCAGGAATTAAACTGGTAACCTTTGAGTTTGCAGGCTGTTGTTCAACCCATTGAACCACACCAGTCAGGGCTACAATTTCAAGTTTTCTTGTTAACAAAAATAGATTACACTGAGGAAAAGGAAGGATATTAAGTGAAGAAAACTTTAAATACCACCATCCATTAAAATACATTTATAAAAAAACTTGATATGTGTTATAACTTACAGAAACATACCCTTAGGATTTGAGGATAAAGCTGCAAACTGGAGACTCCAGGCCTGAAGAAATCAGGGCTGGAGAAACTTACAAACTGGTAGTGCTAGATCCAAAGAGGGTAGCCAACAGTCCAATACCAGTGTCGAAATATTGTGGCTACCTTGAACTTAATTCTGGCCTTGAGTATCAATGTGAAGTAGTTCTATATAATAGAACTCATAGCACCCAGAAACAGGATATCTGCCATATTAATATTTGCCATAATGGCAGTTAGAATGAGTGACAACCTATCAAATTGTTTAGTCTTCTTGCAGGTAAGACCCATGCTGGGCCGTATCAGGACTCTGGCCAAATGACCCACTGTTAAGACTGGCCTCAACTCCTAATGGGAACTGGAGAGAACCCACAGCTGAAACCCTGGCAGATGCAATAAAGCAACACCATGCAGTGAGGGGTAAGATGGCTGCTTTGTGTGCTTCCGAAGGTCAAGGATGACATTTCTTCTGCTACCACCACAGTGACATTACAAGTGGTGAGGACCTAGCAGCTGCTCCCATGACTGAAGATGTCTAGGGAAGAGTAATAATTGACACCAATCTAAAACTCATCTTTTCCTAATTTTCATGGTACTATCTTAGGTCCTTAAGTTAAATGATACTGAAATATCATAAATTCTCCAGATAAAATATTATAATCATCTTCTGGCAAAATAAATAAGAGACAAAGCACAAGCCTCTGAGTAGTTTTGCAAATAAAAATGTTCATTTATGCAAGTAGTAAACATTATTTTCACTAAAATATTTTCAGTTCCAAATATACTGAAAGTGTTCAATTTATCATAAAACTACCAGAATAAAATACTGGAGAAACAGCCATCTTTCAGTTGAATTTTAAGTAGGATATTATTCAAATTTTTAATTACAGTTCTCTGAGAGCAGAATCTAAAGATGAACTCATTTTTATGGTAAACAAAAATTTTGATTTTAAAATAAAACAAGTAATTGTAATATATGATTTCAATTACCTGTATATTTTTAAACTATTCATATTATGAGACAAAGATCCAGTATAAAGGAAATTCTTTTGTGTCAACATAATCTATCAAAACACAATAAACATTCTTTGACAGCCTCTAAAGACTATGCACATGCGCAGATGTCCTACCTCTGTATTTCTGTGCCCTCCCCTCACCCTGTGGCCACATTAATAGCAAGCAAAATGCTGGCGTTCCACAATGCTCTGCAGAGCTATTAACTGCCTACATTATCAAACCAAGCCAAGAGGAAAGAAGAAAAAAATAATAAAACAATGAACATATTACATTATTTTCCTGCTGGATGGCATTTATTTTGAACTTCATGTGCAATTTAGTCAAATAAATAGGTTGTAGAGGAGAGGAATGGAAGTTCCAGAAGAAAAGATTCTTCTCTCCCTACCTAGCCTATAATACTATATACCCATAATAATAATTCTATAACCTGTAAGAATAATTTTTCAAAACTTACTAGCTTGTATGGTGACTATGGTTATAATTGCAAAACTATTGCAAAAATATTTCATCTAGCAATTCTTTAATGAAAAGAATAATGCTCTAGAGTTTTTATTAAAATCTTGTATAATTTACAAATTGCTTTGTATTACATGAAATTTAAGAATGGGAACATGATTCACTTTGTCCCTTGTCCCATTTCCCACACAGAAGGGTGCTGATGCTTTCTGCAGACCTAAGCACACACCATATGTTCCATCAGCATACACCGGTTACCCCATGGAAGGTCAGAAATCTTCCAGGGAAGCATTCAGTGGGTGTGACCTTAATTAACAAATTACCCTGGTTGGGGGGTTGGGGTAGGGGAAACCTGGAAATGCAATTTAACCTTGATATGTGAAACCTTAGTATTTGAAATCTTTTACAGATATCAAAAAATAAACTTTGCACAAAAACACTGTACAAATACAAATTTTAAGTTGTGAAATCGTTCATAAATAGAAATCAGACAGCAGTGCTCATATCGCGTTTTTCAGACTGGCTAAACACTCAGTTTATCACTGTGTACTCCACCGAGTGAAGCATGTGTGCTGTTCCCACCAACTGACACAGATTTCAAAAAAAATGAGTATGATTAATTGGATAAGTTAAATGACTGATTTAAAAGTTCCTGCAGCAAGCTCTCCATTTGGACATTTACACGTAGGAAGTATAAAACTTTTAAAAGTAATTTTTAAGCTGTCCAGCTACCTGAGAATAAAATAATATTTAAAAGAAAGAAATAGAAACTTATGACCAGAGTGCATATACATATAGTTAATCTATAGTGAAAACAGACTGCAGGGGAAGGTGCTATAAGGGAGCCCTTATAATACAGAATTTTTATTAACAACAGAAATATATATGCTAGTAATAATGATGAACTAGAAAACTACATTACACTGTAAAATCAAGTTAATTAATATAAAGATGTAAACACCAGCTATGTCATCTCTCCCCTTCCCTCACCCAATTTTTACTTATTGTTATACATTAACTTCAGAGTCTATCAGCTGACAAAATGTACTGCTATGTTTTGGAAACAGCAAGATAACCATCATTACAAAGAGAAGGAAAAACTTACACCAAGAGAAAATTCTATTGAAATGTCACCTACTCAGAGATTGTGTCTGCCTTTGTCTCTCCTGTGCATTTTCTGTGGGTAAGAATAGGCAGTATTTCTGCCCCTTGTGGCTGTGATTTTGGAAACTCAATTTCAATCTGTAAATTGAGGACACTGGAGTTTCTAAACTGGAAATGTAGGATTTAGTTACAGCCCTGGGCTTGCTGTAGGGATGGGGGCAGCTCCCCATTGCTGCTTGGAGGACCCATCACTCTACCCCAGTTGCCAACTTAGCTGGGCAGCCCACATTCATCGCAGAGCCTTGGAGCACAGGACCCTGGCACTCGACCTGATTTCTGGCAGCTGACAGAGCCTTCTGGAGCAGGATGGTGCCTTGATCATAGGTTTACTAATCCAAGGCTTGGACTAGAGTCCCTCACCCAGTATGGCTGGTTTCCTGGCCCATTCAGCAGGCAGCACTGCTGGGGCAAGGTTCTTTTTCTGTTTGTTTATTTGTTTTTGTTTTGTTGTTCTGTGTGTGTGTGTGTTATTGAAATTAAGAACAAACTGACAGTAACCAGAGGGGAGGTTGGAGGGGATAATAGGAGTAAAGAGGGAAGGGTTTACAGGATCACGTATAAAAGACACATGGAGAAAACCAAAGGAGGATAGGATTAAGGGTGGGAAATGGGGATGGCTGGGGCAGGGGAGGAGTAGTCGGAGGAAAAATTGAACAACAATTAAAAAATGAGAAAAAATAAATTAAGTTTAAAATTTAAAAAAACTTCCCAAGACCCGGATTCTAAAAATCTTACTTCTAAAACCCAAGCACTGGCAGTTCATGTGCCAACTTCCCCTCTAAATGTCTTTCTCCTCCTGAGGAATTACACTGGTTTCCAGTGGTCTATAAATTCTAACTCTCTGCAAAATGGAAATGCTTTTAAAAGGCAATACTTTTTCTCAACTCCTGGGGAGTGACTTCCACTAATATAATACCCTGTCCTCTCTCTACCTGCTGTCTCACTCCTCTGCTGGGTACAAGCAGTAAGCCATCTGCCTGGGAAGTTGGCATGAGAGGCCTAGATCTTTCTGTGTTTATTTGTAGCAAACATGATACAAGAGAATGGTTCTGCTCTGTTCCTCCCTGCTCTGAATGGTAGGGAGGCAGATTCTGTTCCCTGTAGAAGAAGAAGAACGTGGGAACATATAGAAATAAGACTGAGTCTAGGAAATCAAAACGTGCAGGTGGTGGGACTCTCTATGAAGTGTTACGTGTTGGCAAGATGAGTCACCCATTGGCTTCTAACCTTTCTGAGAATAAATGTGGAAAAGGAGTCTTGACTAGTTACACAATTCACAGTGTCAACAGGAAAGATCAATTGCTCAGAGAAAATACAACTATTCCTCTAAGGGCAGAAGAAAGTTCCCCACAGGACCATCCTAAGGAGAGGCATTGTGTAATGCCATGAGCAGTGGCTCAGCAATGCCCACATAAGAAGCCATGTTGCATTGAGCATCACCAAGCTACTTCTTGACATCCCCTTTATGTAGATCAACGGTACCACTGCAGATCCAGCAAAAGCAACTCTAATTATTTTGGATGAAGGTGAATAGAGATAGCAATAGTAGATAATTCTTACATGCATGGTTAAATAGTATGAGTCAATCCAGGTGTCTTATTTAGAAAACTATAAGCAAACATTCTGTTTAGCTGCATGTCCTTCAGGGAAACTTTGGTAAGCTTCTGGTAGATATTGGGCAGTAATGAGTTAGAGATTATATGCCCTAGAAAGTAGTTGAAATATGGCTTTTCTATCCTGCTAATTTTACAGAGATCTACTATAGCTTAGTGCCTAAGCTAAATAAATCACTGAGCTGGGGTTAGCAGTGGCATTCTCTTGGGTAAGTGACAAGGATGTATTGGTGTACAGAAGAGCAGCCAGAGCCTTCTGCCCAGATATGTGCAAGGAGTAGGGAGAAGCAAATGTTTTGAGACTGGTGATCTTGTTAATGCTGGATGTGAGGTATGATGTGTGGTTGCAATATTGCTAACAGAACAAGGGCCCATGTGTAGATAAGGATGTCGTAGGGTGTGGCCATGTGAGCAGTTCTTACCATAAGGTGCTCTCGCTTTAAAGATTTTGCTGGAGTCTTAACTATTTTGGTCTTAGCATGCACTAAACCAATGGAGACGGAATGTGGCCTCAAAATGGTTCTTGTCCTGGATGGAATCCTGGCTCCGGAGGACTGTGGCAGTAAAGTGGCCTTTTTTCCATCGGCTGATCTTGCACTCTGGCACACAAAAAAGAATCAACTTTGTTATTCTCACTTCATTCTTCAGATTTGTGTCTTTTTCTTTTCCTCCTTTGTTCTGAGCTGGAATTGCAGGGTTAAAGTTTTCAGTCCCAAAGGACCTGGATCTGCTACTGTTCCCAGTCCCACAATCCCCCTCTGGCCTGATTTAATCTGCAATTTGGGCTTTCCACACCCCGCACTCCTCCCATTGATGCTAATGTACAAAGAAAAACATACCATCAGATCAACGTTTTCTGGCAGCACCTGGAAAAATGGAATGGGGTGATGTGGTAGCTTGAAATTTCTCCCTTATTTGTAAGAAGATGGGGGAAGGGAATAAAAGCTAGGAGGAAAGGGACAGGAATCTGGGGAGAAGGCATTGTGCCTGAGCATCAGTACAGGAGGATGATACCTTTCACTCTTCTTATTCCAGGCTTGCTTTCTTGGATCCTTACACTCACTCTTTCCTTCTCACTTCTCTCAACATCAGTCACCTGGTCTCTCATCCACACTTCTTAACTCACTGTCAAGCATCTTCTCTTTAGAACTCAGACATTTGCTATACATAGCAAATCCCATATGCCATATGTAGATTCTTCAATCCCAATGCCAAAACAAGAGAAGCACAGAATAAAAGAGAAAAAGAACTTAAATACAAACCTTGACACTTATGCTCTCTTGCTTTCTTCTCATCTCCATTTCTTCTTTATTATGTTTATTGATCTGTGAAATTAAAGGCCCATATAATTTGTTATCATTTGCAAAGAATGAAAAAGAGAATTTTCTGTAAAACTTTCTATAATAATGAAAGAGTATCTTAAACCATTAGACTAACAAAACCATTGTGGGAAAATAAGTTAAAATGTTGAATATGAATTAGAACATAAATTTGTACATAGAAAAAAGCATTTAAAAGAAGTAAATAGGAATAGACAAAATTGTAAATATTTAAAGTCATTAGCATTTGTTTATGGCTTTAAGCATAATAGAAATTATAAACATGCATTGTTTGCTAATGTGGTGATAATTTGTTTCAAATATTACTAAAATAGCTATAAAATTCAGGCCTTATAAGATTTTTTAGGAGAAAATTCAGATAATTTAGTAGTCAAATGTCAATAATGTAATGAAGTCTATTATAACTTCCAGGAATAAAACACATTTTATCAATATATTTTTTTAAATGTGAGATATAATTGACATATAACATTGTATTAATTCTAGGTATACAACATAATGATTCAATATTCCTATATATTGCAAAATGATCATCACAAAAAGTCTAGTTAATATCCATCACCACACAGTTATAATTTTTGTCTGTGAGAACTTTTAACATCTACTCTCTTAGCAACTTTCAAATTTATAATACAGTATTATTAACTATAGTCATCTTGCTGTACAATCCCATGAATTATTTATCTTGTAACTGGAAGTTCATGCCTCTAACCTTCATCCATTTCACCCACACTCACCTCCCACCTCTGGCAACCACCAATCTGTTCTCTGTATTTATGAATTTTTTTAAATCCTCACATGAGGACATTTTTCATTTTTCTTTTAGAGAGGGAGGAAGGAAAAAAGGAAGGGATAGAGAGAAACAGTAATACAAGAGAAAAGCGTTGATCAGTTGCATCCCACACATACCCAGACCTGGCATGAATCCACAACCCAGGCATATGTTCTGACTGGGAATCAAAACTACAACTTTTGGTCACAGGTCCACACTCCAATCAACCACATCGGCCCAAGCAGGGCTTCTTTTTTTTTTTTTTTTCTGTTTTTGCTTTAGATTCCACACAAATTGAGATCATATAGTATCTATCTTCCTCTATCTGACTTACTTTACTTTGTATAATTTCCTCAAAGTCCATTTATCTCGTCATGAATGGCAAAAAATATATTATTAATGTATGCTTCAATAATATTAAGATTTTTAATAATATAAATTTCTAAGTAATGCCAGTGATTAATCTCAGGTAATCTTTTTGTGAAATTCAAAAATGATGGTAAATAAATATAACCATTAATCTCATTTGTGTCTGAACATCAGCTATAATGTGCTTTCAAAAACATCTCTTCTCTACTGATAGATCAGAATTCAATAGAACACAACTCTTGTCTCCTGAAATCTTGGGATCTGGGAGGACAGTAACTGATGTTCACTAAAGACTATGTTTAGGTGATCTCAGTGGGTTTAAATTCAAGGGGAATGTTCCAATTCACCTCCATTATAATGGTTTAAAAATAACTTTCTCCATACCTCTATAAGAAATTTCTAAAAATATTGAATAAACCATCCCTCATAAGTATTTATTGAGTGCATACCATATGTCAGATACTATCCTAGGTGTCAAATATATGGTGATAAACAAAATAAACAATAAAGAAAAACTGATAAAGATGGGACTGACTAATTTAGATGAAGTGATCAGAAAAGACCTCTCCTAAGGTGTCAACATTTTGGCTGAGATCAAAAGAATAAAACAAAGTAACCGTAGGGAATATAGTCAATAATATTTTAATAACTGAACTTCTAGCTGAGATGGAGGCATAGAGAGATACACTTTGCCTCCTTGCACAACCAAAAGAAGGACAACAATGAATTAAAAAACAAAAAACAAACAGAACTGACAGAAAATTGAACCGTATGGAAGTCTGACAAGCAAGGAGTTAAAGAAGACCAGTAGGAGGGATGGAGAGGACTCACAGCAAGGCAGCAACTGGAGGACCAGGGTGGGCAAGGGGGCAGCTGGCAGACTGGGCAGTCCCACATTTGCATGTGGATAAACCAGGAGAAACAACTGGGGAGCAAGACAGACCACACAACCCAAGGTTCTAGTGCAGGGAAATAAAGCCTCAAAACCTCTGACTGAAAAATCTGTAGGGGTTGTGGCAGTGGGAGAAACTCCCATCCTCACAGGAGAGTTCATTGAAGAGACCCACAGGGTTCTAGAACATACAGAAGCCCACCCACCCAAGGGATCAGCACCAGAAGGGCCCAATTTGCTTGTGGGTAGCAGGGGAAGTGACTGAAAGCTCAACAAGAACTGAGCAAGCAATACTGTTTCCTTTTGGACCCCCACATACAGCACTACAATGCAGCAAAGAGGGTTGCCCCACCCTTGCAAATACCTAAGGCTCTGCCCCTTACTATGTATCAGGCATGCTAAGACAAAAAAATATGGTCCAAATAAAAGAACAGATCAAAGCTCCAGAAAAAATACAACTAAGCAATGAAGAGATAGCCAGCCTATCTGATGCACAGTTCAAAACACTGGTGATCAGGATGTCCACAAAGGTGGTTGAGCATGGTCACAAAATAGAGGAAAAAGTGAAGGCTATGCAAAGTGAAATAAAAAAATGTACAGGGAGCCAATAGTGAAGGTAAGGAAACCAAGACTCAAACTATTTGAAGCAGAAGGAAGAAATAAACATTCAACCAGACCAGAATGAAGAAACAAGAATTTAAAATAATGAGGACAGGCTTAGGAACCTCCAGGACAACTTTAAACATTCCAACATCTGAATCATAGGGGTACCAGAAGGAGAAGAGGAAGAGCAAGAAATTGAAAACTTATTTGAAAAAATAATGAGGGAGAAGTTCCCCAATCTGGCAAAGGAAATAGACTTTCAAGAAGTCCAGGAAGCTCAGAGAGTCCCAAAGAAGTTGAACCCAAGGAAGCACACGGCAAGGCACATCATAATGACATTACCCAAGACTAAAGATAAAGACAGAATGTGCAAAACATATCCACCCTCACCCTATGTTTGGAGACCTTGTGGCCTCCAAAGATCTCATGCTATTATAGCATCAGCTGGATTTTGGATCTCATTATCTTAGTCAGGTCCAGGTGCAGATGAGGCTTTTTGAATATAGTCTACCTTGACCAGAAACTTCAGACACAAGTTATCTGAACCCCAAAGCTAACATACCACAGTGGAAGATGGGATAACTACTAGAGGTCCTCCCCTTGGGTCTTGAGTTTATCTGTTCCCACCAGAAATATATGATGGTTTTCAGGCACAGAAATTTAGTCATACATTTTTTAAAGTAAATTTCTGGGTTACCAAAATGTTAGTTTTCATACTTAGTGACCTTGTTACATGTAATAAACCTGGGAAGACTTGAAGCATGGCTTAGGGGGGATTCAGGCAACAAGGAGCCCAGTTTTGGGACTCAGAGTCAATTGTAACAATCAGTGTTGTGCCCCTAGAATGAGGAGCTACAGCAATCTTTGTAATTCCTTTGTAACTGGAGTCTGAATTGTTTCCAGAAATAAGGTGTATGGGATGACACAGATGAAAAGTCAGTTAATGTAAGAGTTCAGCTATAGTATTTTCCTGATGAGGAGACTCTTGTTTTGTTAGCTTCAAGATAAATCAAAGTACAGCCTATAAAATTTATGTGTAAAAATCAGTGGCATTTCTAGACACTAACAATTAATTATCTGAAAAAAAATTTTTTAAATGGGCTCATATACAATAGCATCAAAAACAGTAACTCATTTAGGAATAAATCTTACCAAGGAGATGAATAATCTTTACGATAAAAACTACAAGACATTGATGAAAGAAATTAAAGAAAACACAAACAAATGGAAGGATATCCCACGTTGATGGGTTAGAAGAATTAATATTGTTAAAATGTCAATACTACTCAAAACTATCTATAGATTCTATGGAATCTCTATTAGGATTTCAATGACAGGTTTTTTTAATTTTTATTTATTTTTAGAGAGAGGGGATGAGAAGGAGAAAGAGTGGGAGAGAAACATCAATGTGTGGTTGCCTCTCACGTGTCCCCTACTGGGGACCTGGCCTGCAACCCAGGCATGTGCCCTGACTGGGAATCGAACCAGTGACCTTTTGCTTCACAGGTCCATGCTCAATCCACTGAGCTATACCAGCCAGGGCTCAATGACAGTTTTTAAAGTAGTAAAAGCAGTCCTAAAATTTATATAAAATCACAATAGACCCTCAAAAGCTAAAACAATTCTAAAGGAAAAAAATACAAAGCTGGAGGTATTATACTTCTTGATGACAAACTATATAGTAGTTTCTGGTCTTCAAACTATATTATAAAGCATAGTAATCAAACCAGAATGGTGCTAGCATAAAAACAGACATATAGACCAATCAAACAGAATCAAGAGCTCGGAAATAAACCCATACATGTGTGGTCAACTAATACTTGACAAGGCAGCCAAGAATACTCAGTGGAGAAAACATGCTTCAATAAATGGTGCTGGGAAAATTAGATATTTGTGAGTAAAAGAACGTAACTAAGCCTCTACCTTAAACCACTTACAAAATTAAATTTAAAGAATTAAAGACTTAAATGTCAGACCAGAAACCATAAAACTCCTAGAAGAAAACATAGGGGAAAAGCTTCTTAACATGTGTCTTGGCAATAATTTTTTGATATGCTACTCAAAGTACAACAAAAGCAAAAATAAACAAGTGGGATTACATTTACCTAAAAAGCTTCTGCACAGCAAAAGAAACAATCAACAAAATGAAAAAGCACCTATAGAATAGGAGAAAATATTTGAAGATCATATATCTGCTAAAGAGTTAATATCCGAAATATACAATGCAATATCAAAAACTGCAAATAATCCAGTTATAAAATAGGCAGATGATATGAGTAGGCATTTTTTTCAAAGAAGATATTAAAATGGCCAACAGGTTCTCAATGCCACAAATCATCAGGGAAACCCAAATCAAAACCACAAGGAGATGTCTCCTCACACTTGTTAAAATAGCTGTCACCAAGAAGACAACAGATAACTAGTGTTGATAAGGATGTGGAAAAAAGGGAACCATTGTGCACTGTTGGTGGGAATATAAACCTGTGCAGCCACTGTGGAAAACACTATGGAGATTCCTCAATAAATTTAACATCAGAACTGCCATATAGCCCAGCAATTCCATTCCTGGGGATTTATCCAAAGGAATCAAAAAACATTAACTTGAAAACATATATGTACCCCATGTTCATTGCAGTATTAGTTTCAATAGCCAGGACATGTAAACAACCTAAGTGACCATCAACAGACAAATGGATAAAGGTGATGTGGTACATATATACAATGGACTATTACCTAGCCATAAAAAAGAATGAAATTTTGCCATTGTGACAACATGGATGAACCTTAAAAGCATTATGCCAAGTGAACTAAGACAGAGAAAGACAAATCCCTTATCATCTTACTTACAGTGAAATCTTAAAAAACAAACAAAGAAACAAACAAACAAACAAACAAAAAGCACCCAGAACTCACAGACACCAACAAGGAGCAGATTGGTGGTTGCCAGAGGCAAGGGATGGAGGGGGCAAATTGGGTAAAGGTAGTTGATAGGTACAAACTTCCCCTTATAAAACAAATAAATCCTCCCTAATGTACAGTATGGTGACTATAGTTAATAATATGTATTATATATTTGTAAGTTGTTCAGAAAATCAATCTTAATAGCTATAACAAAAAAGTGTTAACTATGCATGACAATTGATATTAATTAAACTTATCATGGTAACATTTTGCAACTTATACATATATTGATTTTGTTATACACTTAAAATTAATATAATGTCATATGCCACTAAGAGTAGGAATCACAGGAAAATATAAAATTATTTTACATGCTTCCATTAAAACCAATCTAAGGATATTTTATTGTTTACCTATACTTATTGATCATGCCTTTTTATTACCAACTCTATGACTTTTAAACTAGGCTTTTAATAGGCCAGAAAATAAAATATATAGGCAAGCATGCAACAAAAACCCTTCAGTGAGAAAGGTTTTTAATTTTTATAAAATGACTCCAGTTACTCCACTTTCTCCTACTCCTCCATCTAGGCACAATCACAAATCTTCATTTCTGGAATAAAGAGTTCCGGCAAGAAACAAAGGAAGTCCAAGTAGCAACAAAGCCAGCCCCCCTCCCAGTGCATAGCAAAATATCTCGAGGCGGGTAATGGGTGCCAAATGGTAACCTTGCTGGGCCCAAAGATATGCCATGGAAACCTTGGTCATAAGCACCCTCCCTCCACTGAAAACACGGACCCTCCAAACTAGATCTGAGGTACTGAGGTTCTTGTGTTGTTGTGAGGTTTGTAATGAAAGATCTTGCTGCTTGGCAACAAGCGGGTTCAACAAACTTCTAAACAACAAAATAAAAGGTGGTGGGTTCCCCTGTGGGAAATAGAATAGCACCAGTTAACTGCTTACAGTTCAAATAAAGAGGAAAAGTGGTCAAAAAACTATGGGGTCTGTTCCTAGTATAGGCGCAAACTTTCAAATTAAGTAGTTTAATTTCTTGTCTAACACTACTAACAAACTGACAACGTAACATTTGTTTCACCCTCTGGAATAACACTTTCCAGTTTAATGACAACAAACACATTTAGTTGTTTTCAGAAGCAACTCCTGGACTTTGGAAAGAAGAGGGTGGGGAGGGACAGAAAAGATCCACCAAGTTATACACAAATAGTGAAGCTGATTTTTATATGCCAGGTATTTAAAAGTAAAGGGCTCAAAATGACATGTTTGTTAACACATGGTTTCTGTGACTAGCTAACCATCATTTTTTTCCTGGCCTGCATTCACAAGTTGGTTTCATAGAAGGCTTTATTGTACTCCGGGAGCATTGTTTTGCATTAATTTCTATGACAAGGAACCCAAAACACATGGTGCCGAGAGTAACAAAACAGAGTTAGAAAAACAGTCATGACTTGGCACAAAGTGTGACAAGCTGTAAAAAGGGGAATGTTTCAATATCTGAAGTGGTGTTGATTTCCTATGAACAACCTTTTCTCTTCTAAACAGTATCATATTCTTTTCAAGCACATTTAGAACGCAAGTCAAGCTGTGTTTTATTTTTGATTATAATAAACACAGTCAGTTTACTGTAACAAAGACATACTAGTCCTAATCAGTTGAAAGCCAAAGTACAACCCCATAAACTGGGTGGGGGGTGGGGTAGGGGGGGCCTGGGGGTGGGCAGTCAACTGATAAAATAAAAGACCAGCCGTCTGGAAAGTTCTCTTAAAAGAACATAAAAAGGCAGTGTTTTCTTATGAGACTAACACAGAATGCCAAAATATCTAACGGGTCCTGTTTTTGTTGTCACTTATGGCAATTTGTAACTAAAAATAGCAAATCCCTCAAAATATTGAGCTCTCATATTTCTTCTTTTCTTCTCCATAATGAAATTCAAAAGTTTTGTACACTGCTTTAAATTATAATAATATTTATATAAGACTCTTCTACATAGTAAGTATATTTATCATAATACTACTCGAGTGATCATTTTTAAATGTTTATAATTATGCATGCACTTAGATTATTGATAAAGTGAAAATGAATAGATCACAAAACAGTTACAAATACAGTTTATAAAACTTTCATGATTAAATTCTTGAATTCTAATTTATTAGGAAATAATGTAAATTGCCTTACCATTTCTTGAACTAATAATTTTTCAGCATCAAGCTCAAGCCTTAATTTGTCTCTACTATCAAATAACTGAAATAGAACATTACATTTTGATTAAAAAACAGTACAACTGAATTTACCCTTCAAAAAATTTAGTGAAATATATTTTGATTCTGAATATGAGAAAAATGAATCCCGATATTTTTAAAGAAAAAATTAAATGTTTACAGATTGCCATGTAACATATTACCATGTAATTATTGTATTTTTGTCATATAAGCAAAATATACACAGAAAATGCCAATTTATTTACAACCTTCCTCACCTCACCTCCAAAATGTGATATAAATACATAATAAAGCAAGTTCTAGTTTGTGAAAAAGAGCAATTTACTCTTCATAGAACCCATTTCTTACTTGGGGTTTCTGTGCTATATTCCTATGCACATCAAGCTATGTTTTGTGCAGTTAAAAACAGCCCTGAGCCATCGACCACAGGGCCACTGTGCTCCTGACTCACCTCAGTATTTTAAATTTGTGTGTGGTATACACATCGATAAAATTCAGCCCTGGGTGTTGACATCCATTCAATTCAACTAATTCCTATACTTGTTAATTTAATGAACATGTAGGAAATGCCTTTTAGATGCCCAACATTTGTTCAGCTTGGAAGTTTGAAAATGAACTAGAGCAGATCCCTTCCCTGGCAGCATTGGCAGTATGGTAGGAGAACAATGTGAAATGACTGGAAAACATATGAACAAATGCGAAATCAAATCTTTGGGTCATGAAAAAGCATAAAAATCCACATAACTAGCAACCATAATTATAATAAGATATGCCATTCCTGGTGTTAACATCACATAAGTAGTCATTGACAAGGGTCTTGAAAAATAAGTAGAAGACTTATTTTTCAACAAGAAAAATTTTCCAAGTCGGAGAAGGAAGAAGGTGGAGAAAATAGCCAACAAAACAGCGGTGCAAACAGACAAGCCTGGGGTAATGGAGGAATTTGGAACCCTTTGGTGTTCTGAGGCCCATGGTGCTTCCACATGGAAATGGCAGGAAATGATGGGAGAAGGACAGCGAACTAATATCATGGGGTGCGGTGCTCAGGACAGGATAGAAAGGCAGAACGACGCAATGATTCTGGTTCAAATCATAGTTCTGCCCCTCACTAGCTGTGTGGGTAAGTTAATTCTATGCTTTCAAGCTTTAGTTTTCTCTTCTGTAAAATTAGGACGATAAAGAGTTATTGTGGAAAGAATTTGAGATAGCAAATATAAAAGTGTTTAGTTGTTCCTGACATTTAAAAATCACTGAGTATACTTTTGGGGTGGCCTGGTTTTACACTGAAGGTGGTGGAAAACCACTGAAGGTTTCAGCACATTAGAGTAGGGTATAGATAACCATGGAGGCAGTGTGGAAGCTAGGTTTGAAAAGGACAGAGAATGGAGACAAAAAATGAAGACTGTGGAAATGATGAGGACCTCAACCAAATCTGTGCAATGCTGTTGCAGAGAAAGGAGATTTGAGACAAATGTTGGAAGGAAAGTCTATAGCCCTAGTTACCAATTAGACATGAGATAGGAAAGAGAGAATAGAGAAGGACTCTAGATTTGTCATCTGGTCCCCTGAATGGATGGCAATGTCATTAATTCAAATGAGGATCAAGGCAGAGTCTAGATTTGAGGGGTGATGAGTTCAAGTTTTGACATTTTTCTGCAAATATTTTTGAGGGCTAATTAGAATATAAACGAACAACAAGACATAGTTCCTGACTTGCAGGGAGCTAATAGTCCCAAGAATGTGGGAGAACAGAGGGGTCCCTAATTACCATAGGGGATTGATGGGCACCTTTAAAGAAGTCTTTCCAGTGCAAGTGACATTCAAAGTGAGGATGAGGACAGAGTTCAAATTAAGGAGGTGGTGTTTAGGGAAAACCTGAAGCAGGACAGAAAGGTTTAGAAGTCATTGGTAAGCAGATGTGTCAGTAATGCAAGAATCTGAAGTCAGCCAGAAAAAAAGACCAAGGGTTAACAGAATCCTCAAGACTAGTATTTCAGTGGAAGATGGAGGAGAGGAAGCCACTGACAGATGTTGCTTTGGAAGGGATGGAGAAAGTATGAGAAAGATCAGAAGTAAGCATTGTTGTAGAGGGCACCTGTGACGTGGGGCATGGTTCTGTCATGCACAACAGAAAATTCCAGAAGGAAAAAGGTTGGAAATGATTAAGGGCAATCAGAATCTCACTATGACCTGATCAACAGGAAAAACTAGCAGTGGAGGGTGAAAAGCGGGCTGGTTTTCTTATAAATGGTATTTGAAGAACAGTGAAGGGCAATGGCTTTGAAAGGCACCAGAGAGAAAAAGGCTGATGAAGAAAGGTCCCAGAAGAAAATAAGGAAGAGATGGAGTCAGGCAAACAGGTGGAAGGAGAAGTCAGGGCAAAGAAGAATGTCCCCTCTTCTGATGACAAGGAGTAAAGGTAAACTAAGTGACAGAGTAAGAAATTACCAAGGAGAAAAAATATCCAGTGTCCATCATGTCCTCTGTGAATCAGGGAGGAGTGCAGAGGAATGGGGTACTGGAGTTGAGAAAATCAGGGAAGGCTGGCGAGCTGTAGTGGGCAGTAAAAAGGGGTACTAATTAGATCCACGTGAAGTGCTATAAGAGGGAGTGCCCAGCTACTCTGAGTTGTTTGCAACTCAGAAACTCCGTATGTTTGCAATGTCACCAAAAGACAAGGATGGAGTTGTCTCCAGTAGCACAGGGGGTTCCCCGACCAGGGCTGGAGAACACTGGGGACCGGCTAGATGAGAGCCTCTGAAGTGGGGTGAGGAGTGTGGTGGAAGATGTGGAAAGCTGACAGCAGATTTACAGGAAATAAAACAATGAGAAGGGTGGAAGGAAAGGAAAGATTTTGTGTGCAGCCATCACAGCTTGGTCTGGAAAGAAGTGTCACCAAGCTTCCAGTGCGGGTCAATTACCAGCAAACACCAAGGCCATTAGCCCCAACCCTGCCTGCCTTCTTAGATCTCTCATCCATATTGTCCTCTCTCTGTTGTTCTTTTACCCTCATTCTTCTTTCCATTGACCCACTTTAAAAATACACCTTCAATCCCATTTCACCCTCCAACTGCTCCCCACCTCTCCCTGGCCATCCACAGCTGAATTTCTAGAGTGTCCGTGCTCACTGCACCCCACCCCTCAGCTGCTTCCACCATCCCAGTAAAATGACTCTCATTCATATGACCAGGGTCATTTTTGTACCAAAGCTAAATTGTCCAATTTTCCCTTTTTGGCCTTTAGCACACCTGGCCTGTAGGCAACATTTGACATCTGTGAGTATTTCCTTGCTTTTTGAGATTCTTTTCCTGATGGCTTCTGAAATGCCTTCTCCTGCTTCTCCCCCTGCTCTACCACCCTGTTCTCATTTCATCTGAATGCTATCCAGCCTTGACTTCTCTCTCTCCTTAATCTCTCAGGCCTCCAGCCTTATCAACAACCACAGCCCTTGCTGCTTAATCATCTCTGGAGTGTATCCCTCCTCATCATCCCTAACATCATTGTCCTCATTCTGTTTTAGGACTTTATAGTTTCCATGGTTTATCCAAGTAACCTCTTAACTGGTTTCTCTGGCTCCAGATTTTCCTCCCTCCCATTTGTTTTCTTCAGGAAATACAAATAGAATCCTGCCTCGATGTTCAGGGCTCCCCAGTGCCCTCAGTAGGTCATTCAAAACCTCTTGGAATGAATAATAATTTTCTGCCACGTGCCCTGCTTCTCAACACCGCTTATTCTCACATACCCTTCAGCTGCTGCAAATCACATGCACTTACTTCCCTTCTGCATGCTTCTTACCCTTCCCACCTCCTTCTCATCCTTTCCCAGGAGCTCTGACCTCTCTTCGGGAGTTAGCTCAGTGTCCTTCCGCCACACTCCCTGGTCCCTCCCACCCCAGGCTGGGAGTGCCCCACTGTGGCATTGTCTGCTGCCTGCATCTGACTCAGACCACACCTTGGGCTGCCATCACTGGCTGCTGCTCTGTCTGCCTCCCAGAAAGAAATTCTTATTGTGACCAAGCTGGAATAGAGATCCAGCTGTTATTAGAGTATTGGAATTAAAACAAAAGAGCTACTGAACCCCATGTTAGCCCACAAAGATGGCAGGAGGTCAGCCTTCCTAAGTTCAGTCCCATTTTCAACTTGCTTTTAATTACATCTACAGCTAAAAAAGGGAACATGTGACTTATTCAGTCTTCTGAGCTGCCCTTTCCATTCTTCTATTACCTGCTTAGCTCTTCCCCATACCCCAGGTTCCCCCCTTTCTAACACAAATACTCAGCACGTGGTCTCACCAGATTCTTGCCTCACACTCTAGCCATACCAAATCACAAACAGGTCCACAAACATATCTCATGGCTTATGTATTCACACTCGTACCCAGCTCTTACCTACTTGGAAAAATCAGCTCGAGTAAGAGCGTGAGGTAAGCATGGAACTCTTTGTGAACCCTTCATAGAACCTTCCAGGTAAAGCTAGGCATCTCTTCTCTGTGTGCACTTTTATTATAGTCCTTATCACACTGCCCTCTAGTTTAATATCTCCCTCTAGACCTGATTTCTTCCACAGTAGGACTGTCTGTGTGTGCATAAAATATACTATTTATATAAAATGCATATATCTTGTATATATTATCTTAGCAGTAATGCATGACACTAAAAGGCACTTGATAAATGAACTGATTTAGTGAAGGAGGTTGAAAGTAAACCAGTAAATACCAGCTCTCATTTGCTCAACTCTTGATGTGCTTTCCAGTTGACAAAGCACTCACACATATTTTGCATTCTATCCACACTGTAAGTTCATAAAATTAATAATATTTACAGATGAAAAAGTACATTCACATACCAAAGTTATTCAAAACAGACATAAAGACTTTCCAATAACTGAAAAAAGTATCAGTTTTTATATTTCAATTTCAAAAAATTGAAATGAAATAGAATTAAAAAGTTAGTTTCTGAGTCACACTAGACACAGTTGAAGTGCTGAGTAGCCGCATGGGGCCAGTGCCTGCCACTGGGCAGTGCAGACCTGGAAAGCTGAGGCCATATTAACTGAAATATTGAAGCTCACACAGGCATAAGCGGCCACTCCCAGGGTATGTTTCTGCCTAATGGGCGGCTAAAAGGTGAGGTGTTGTTTTTTTTAACTTTAATTTCTTATATTCCTCACAGAGAAGAGAAAGCTTGCACACCTCACCTCTACCAGTGACAGATAGACTGAATAGCTTTAGAAACATTGAAAGGAACTGAAATGGTTTCCTTATAGGTTCTTAAGTGAAACTCGAAAGCTGAGATTTTATTTTTAACCTCAGAGTTTGATGCCAAAAAGGTTGAAGGTGTCTATCTGTTCACAGACCCTATGATCTCTGTAAGAGTGGGACTTGCACTGTCATGGCTACAAGGGGGCAAGGGGTGGGGGGGGAGGGGAGCAGGGGGGCAGGGGGCAGGGGGGGGGGGGGGGGGGGGGCACACAGTACAGGAAAGGGAAATAAATGGCTTTGTGAAACTCTGTGAGAGATTCAGTTATCATAGAAAACATCCCCTCAACTGGCCCATCAGGATAACCATGTCTTTAAAATATAGTTCTTGATAATGATTTTACCTAAAACATAAGAATAACCTAGTTAAAGTTGAAATCTGAACTGAAACTTAGGCCCACATGGTGACTGAGCTCTGGAAATGTAGCCAGTGTGACTGAAGAACTGAGTGCTTAATTTTATCTAATTTGATTAATTTTTAATTAAAACCTGATACTTTATTTGGTTTGTAGAAAGCATGTATGTTTAGTTAGAATAAATACAAATTAATGTATGTAATGTAAATAAATAAAAATTTCATGTATTTCCATACATGAAAATTCACTTTTTCATTTAAAATTCTGGAAATTTTATGGATTCTAAATACAGTCTCATTCTACGAATGAGTGCAAGAGTATTTTGAAGGATGCCACACGCTGCGCTCAGCAGTGGGACTGTCCCAGTAACTGAGAGGGCGCAGTCTCTGCCCTCGTGGGGCTTCCGATTGGGCAGGGAAGACTGACCCCCATAGAAAAGTGTTTTGAAAGCTGGACAGCGGTGATACATTGACTTAAGAAAGCACAAAGCAGGAGCACCTGACCTGTGCATGCAGGGCAGGAAGTGCTGGGTTCTGCTGCTCTGAATGCACTAGGAAATCTTGATTCTGCACGCCAAAAGAATTCCCTGTACTAAATACAAATTTCCTAAATAACGTTAAGTCCAGATCGTTCATATACAGAAAAATGAAGGTAAACCAACAGCTGCCCTGAGACTACACTGATCACGCTCAACAATGTAATTTTTCCATAAATACATCTTTGTCCTTCCTGTGTTATGTAACTTTTCGATTCCTCACAATCAACAAGGTGGACACTCAGTTATATCAAATAAAAGATGTATCTGTGCATTAAGTCAATATCAAGATGGAGTCCTTAGTTGTAACTAGAGACCCTACCCAAATAAGAAGAGACATTAAATACAGAAATTGACTTTACATCACAGGACAAGAGAGACACACGTTATTTCACCAACTGGGCTGGTATTTCAATGTAAAAGAGTCATTCATCAATGTAAAAAAGTTACAGTACCGTTCGAATGGTTTTATTATCCTTCTCTGCCTTCTCTTTCAGACTTATAATTTCATCTTCTATAAACAAAAGGAGAGAGAGACCAACCATGAAATTACAAGCTTATGCCCTGTATTCAGACTGCCTGCTTCCGGGCAGGCTGTACATCATGGGCAGGCTTGGTGGGCGCAAGTCCTAGCAGGATTGTGACCTTCACAACTGCCCTTGACATTCAAAGCCTTCTTCCTGCTGTTTAGACGGCTGGTCAGATAGAGACTAAGAACTAAGTTCAAGATACAAGTGTGGCAGAGGGCTGAAAGCTTTTCATCAATACCTTCAAGGGATACTTAGCTGTTCTTCATAGCCTATACAAAGTGTTTCAGCAGGTGGCAGTTTCTGACTCAGTCAGGACTCCTCAAACCTAAAAAAGCACTGTTATGCCACATCAAAAGAGAAGCAAAACTACTCTGGCACAGTATAGTTGTATATTCAAGAGATATTGTGATATAGATGATCTTGTCAATATTTTGTGACTTTTGCCTTGCTTACTCATTGTTTTTCATACTGCAGATTAAGGGCAACATTATATAATTAACATAAAATCAAAGATAACAGTAAGTGAAAAATACTTCAAGCAATCTAACTTTGGTGACTAAAATGCAACTTTGACCAATGTTTATGGCATGTAAAAAAGGGGAGGTCACAGGTATATGAATGAAAATTTGTACTAAAAACCTATCAAAATTGAAGATAATTAAGTAGTAAGTCAAAGCACATTTTCCTGAAAGGCTAACTCAGTTTCTCCACAAAGCATACCCTGATATGTATTTATAGGTATTTAAATATTACCAATTTTACATAATTAAGCCTATAAAATAGAAATTGGCAAATGTTTCTATCTGTGTATAATATTTCTAAGGTCAATAAAGCATTGATAAGCACAATTTTTTCAAAGGTCAATGGTTGGCTTGAAAATAAAATTTAAAAAAATTTCCTGAGTTAAAATCACATGGCTGAGAAGTACAATTATAATATTTACATATAAAATATATTCTCTGTTCCAAGCAAAGAATGCCATTTTAAATGAAATCAAGAAGGGCTATCAAACTGATCTTTTAAATGTAAATAACCAGACAAATGTATGTTTGGAAAAAGATGAACACAGCTATGAGTTTTATAAGTGACCATTGTATACACTTTCTTTAAAATGTTACCTAATGCTGAATTTTCTTGTAGACTGAGTTGGATTTCTTCTTCGAGTACTGAAATGACTTGAAGCAGTCTCTCATTTTCCACTTTCAACTCTAAATTTTCCTTTTCTGGAGTTGATTTTTCAAAGCTGCTCTCTGAGGTCAAAGAGTCCTGAAAGATGGGGAATTTCGTATTTCTAAGCAGGGAGCCAAGGATTTAAATATGCAACCTAAGACAATCAGACACAGAAGAGCTATCATATAATTTTCTGAATTCTATTACACACTTATAATATGAATAGTAAAAAGGAAGGGGATTAAATAGAGCTTGCTGGAAGAAAGACTGCAGTACATTCTGTACAAAGACCACAGCACATGGGGACATTTTATTGACAGGAATAATGCATATCATACTGTTTGTGCGCCCTCATCATTCAGGTCAATTCATTACGGGGGCTGTGCCCGGGGAGGCAGCTGGGCCACTCCACCCACACTTCCTCCTGTGTGTGTCTGAAGTGCTGTCCGCCGTAACTAGGCAGGCTGGGGAGACCATGGACGGGCAGCACCAGGGGGTAGCAAAGTGCACGGTTAAGGAGGGGGGCTTGTTGCCTTTGTGGCATTTCCCAGTGTCAGCGCCGCCAGTGTCATGAGGAGCACATCACATGTCAAAGTGGTGACGTTTTCAGGCTGGGAGCCGCATGGAGTCCGTCAGGCACACGGATATCCACACAGTCTGGTTTTCTGCTGGGTGGAGGAGCCACCCAGAGGCAATTCATATTCTGAACATTAACATGGCTTTGCATGCCTGTCACACTGGGGCTGTGCAGGCGTTTAATGCTATTGAAGACTTCGGTTTAAATCTCTGTGCAAACAGCGATTACCTTGTAAGAAGGTTTCAGGATAACTTACAACAAAAGACTTTAAAGTTATAGTTTTAGTAAAGCAAACTCATTTACATTTTTATTATGTGAGTCTTTTGTTTAAATCTTGCCATGTCCATTATGGGAGAGGCTTTTTCTTATGCACTGGAAGCGTATTGGGACAGCTACTCTTCTTTTCTTCTTCTTCTTGTCTGTTTCAAAGCTAATGAAAACATCTGAATATGCTTGCTATGACTGTCGACATTTTACTGCCACACATTATTTTTAAAATTAAGATGTAATGGGTTGGGGAAGCGGTTGCAGACTTTATGTTTCATTGTGGTAAAATATTAGACTGATTACGCCTTTTCAAAATATTAAAAAGTATGTTTAAAATGATTATATTAGGCTAAAAGAGATAGAAGGTTCTACATGTCTTGTTTCAAAATTGATAGACACTGGAAATACTTTTGAACTGTAAAGTAATCTTTAGATGAATTATAACATCCTCTTTTTATTAGCAATGCCATGGTTGCAAATACATGAGAATAATTTTCCCCTCAAAAATAAAATCGTTCCTCCCAATAGGCTGCTTTCCTTTCGGAATCGTATGTTTGTTTAACTTCAGAGATAGTTGAAAGTAAATTATTAAAATATTTTTCTCTGTAATCATAATGGTTTAAAAGAAAAATAAATGGCTACAATCTTTTGCATTACATTACAAAATGTAATAACAAGTGAGTTTGTTGTTCCTTTAAAAACTAACAACTTACTAATGTAGTTATATCAGAGTTAATATTTAAAATAATGTTGTTAATTTTCTACTAAGCCTAGTTCCAAGTTTTCACAAGTTTGAGTTACCATTTCACTTAAATTACTTGAGCTCACTTCATTCCTAGTTAAAAAATCTAATAGTAATAAACAGCACTGTTTTCTTCTTAGAGGGGGAACCCAGTCACTAATTTCTTGTCCCATATGGTTAAATTTGAGATTATCACAGAATGTATTTACAAACTAAGAAGGATTTTAAGTAACAGACAAACAATATCTGACTTAGTAGGCTTACACATACATTTCCTAAGAGTGGCAGAATTTGAACATCCACAGTGGATTGCATGAGCACCCATTACCATAAACTAAACAAGAACTATTTGAATTAATCAGGTGAAGTGTAAAATTTTAACTAGTAGCAGCTAATGCCTAAATTCATTTTCTAAAAATCTGGTATAAAAACTGGAAACAAGGAAAGCACATTTAACGCAAAGACTTTTTTCTCCACGTTGCCATCCAGAGCTCCTGTTCTTATGAGGTTAACCTTTAGCTCTGTCTCCACCATCTGTCCGCGGTAGGAACTGCAAGTAATTAACTATGCAGAGTCCCACAGCAATGAGGACACTCATTAGCAAAATGAACAAAAGGATAGTTCTGGGCTGCTACGGTCATCTGTTACACTGAGTGGCAGGTTTTGTGATGGTGTTCTTTCTACCATCTGCCCACACCAGTAGTTTTAGCTTACTTAAATCATGAGACTTCTTTAAAATATACTACATTAATAAACCAAGGTTGGGAAGATCACTAAAAGGTGAACTAAATGTAGCTAATTTAAAACCACATTGCAATCAATGAGAAATTGTGTGTGACCCATGAACATCCTGTAATTAATCTTACTTTGATAAAGGAACTTGCCAATTTAAAGTTTTTCTATCACATGAAAACTAGGACTTCAGGTAGTGGTTTAGGCACTGTTTCTCTTGTGAAAAGCCACAAGGTGTGCAGATTCACTATTGCCAGGTGTTTGAATGCCAAACTGTCCTTGAAAGAGTTGTTTCTGAAAACTGGCATACTCAAGGGCTTTGCTACTCAAAATGTGGTCCACAGACTGAAGAGCCAAAGAATCACCTGGGAGCTTATTGGAAATGCAGAATCTTAGCTCCAGCCCAGCTCCACTATCAGTAGCTGTGCCTTAACAATTGCTGCAGACAATCCACATGCACAATCAAGTCTGCGAAGTACTGTTGAGAGCACTGCTTGTGCCTTCTCAGCAGTCCTCCTTTCGCCACAGTGGTGTCTCAATTCTTCAGGCTCCATGTATGCTACTTGGACATCTCAATTTGGTGCTGGGGGTGGCGTAGGGTTCGGATGCATGCCCAGGCTGCATGGCAGTCACAGAGCAGAGCAGGTGCTTTCCCAATGAGTGACAACCAGGAAAGTGGCATGCTGGGACAGTGAAGCCCTGCAGAGCTGCCAGTCTTGAATGACAGTTCTCTTTCAAAACTGTCAACAACAAACTGTTACGTTCACCTGTTGGGAGGGTGCACGAGTGACGGTTGCACAGCTCATATGTGTGGGGGTAAGAAAGAAAGGAAATGCCTTTCAAAAGAACAACTTCAACAACTGCAATTAAAATACATTTGCACATGCACACACACACTGGCAAGAGTCTGACACGTTAGCCTGTTTTGGCAGTTCTTATTAACAAACGGCATGACAGCCTGATAACTACAGTGGCATGCAGTTAAGTCACAACAGTTTCCTATAGAACTAATCCTGAAAAGAAGCTCAGTCCTCAAATAAAGATGCTCTCAGGAAAACTCAACATTAAGGATGCCTGACCTGGGGAGAGGAGGCTTCTGCAACTGGAGGAGCTTCCTTTTCTGATTTCAATTGTTATAAATATAACTTAAACTAGCTGTTTATTAAACTTTCACATTCTTGTCAGATTTCTATTAAAAAACAGCCTTGGAGAAATACTAGGACTACTTATTAACTGTAAAGCTACTTAAGAGGTTTGACTATCAGTAAGAACATATTACAGTGTTCCCCTATTGTTTATACAGTCTGGTGGTTTCAACTTTTTCCCCTCAAGTTATTCCCACTGCTACTTTGAAACTTTTCTAATTGTTTCTCTGTATTCTGTTTTCCAAATCTAATTTCAGATACTTGACGTCTCACACTTTTTTATCCCACTAGAGGGAGCAGGTGTATAAAATGAAATTTTAAATAAAAAGCCAGTATATCATCTAGAACTTAAGTGGCATGGGGTTTTAGGAAAGCTTGTTTTTAGAGGATTCAAAAAAGGTATTTTCCCAGAGATTTATTTTCTATAATACATGATCTGCTTTTGTGGCATTTAGTCCGTGTTCCTGGAACGCACACAGTACTGGTGCCATACACTGTCCTCGATTAAGGTGGGAGACTGAGGCCGTATGTTTTAGTTGTGGTCCTAAGGAGCTGGGAGAAATGTATAGACCCAGTTAATATGCAAGTCACTTTCCTCCAATCTTAAAAGGTTAACAGAAAAACTGATGTGGCCTCCCTGGGGGCAAAGTACAGTGGAATATGCAGGGTCTCCTGGATGCCCTCCTTTCTTCTTCACAAAGCCACCACCCATCCTTATCCAGGACATCCAGACAGACCACTTAACTGGCTGAGACACTGAGGAAGGTAAACATTCCAAGTAAGACCTCATGTTTTAGTGTAATGAGCTCTGTTACTGAATTGGGACATGATCGACAATCCAGAGGCCTATTCAGTGCATTTCACAGAATGTAAACCAGATGGTCATAAAAACTTATGTAGTGCCTCATAAATGATAACTAGAATTTATAGGCTTATCTTTCTTCAGAGAACTTAGAGCAGTTCACATCCAGTACAACAGGTATCCTTCTCATCACTCTTTCTTGGCCAGGAAGGATTCACTTTCCAGTTCACAACTGGAAAATAGACAAATTAAAATGGCTTCACCAATTTATGCTGCATTTCTTTGGCCAAGACACAACAGCTGAAACTAAGGTAGTTTTTTAGCCTTTTATATTAAATTATTTTCCCCCAAAACTAAGAATAAATATAGACACAGGAAAATGTTTAAAAAAGTAAATGAAAAAACTGGATATGCCTTCTCTCACAAGGCAATCAGAACATGGAAAAAGACTCGGTACTCAATTTTACAAGATTTATGTTAATAATACTTAATACTATGTTGCTTTAGAAGATGCTCAATTTTTTTAGAACATAAATAATTCAAATAAATTAAACTAAGCAAATGCTGCTTCAGCAGTTGGTAAACAAAGTCCTTTAGAATGGTACATATTCAATTCCTTGTTTCTTCTAACTTCAAAGTTTACATAAACTGTAGATTGCTCTTGAAAGGACCAGCAACCCACAAGTTTTTTTCTTAGTGTTAATTTGATTTATAACATCTCTCATTTTTATGCATGTGTCAATATTTATGTGTATATACAAGGCCTGTCTAGGAAAAGTCAAGCCATTGTTAATACAATGAGAACGGTTTGCAAGACATCAGTGTAACCTGGCAGCCAAGGAGAGTGAAATGGAGTGTGCATGTGTGAAACAATGACAACTTCACTGTACTAGTCGGTGGGGGTAGTAGATGCTTTTGAGTGAGCATGCGTACAGTGTTACCATCACATTCAAAATGACTGAGCAAGTAGAGCAATGAATCTGCATCATATTTTGTGTTAAGCTTGAACATTTCTCTGTGGAAACTATTTGGATGATTCAGAAGGCCACAGCTGTGGGCAACTGGTGATTGGCGGCTTCCTCATGACAATGTGCCTGCTCACCCATCACGTCTTGTAGAGAGTGTTTTTGGTGAAATGTCAAATCACCCAGGTGACTCAGCTCCACTGCAGCCCAAATTTGGTGCCCTGCAACTTCTGGCTTTTCCCAAAACTAAAATCACCTTAAAAGGAAAGTGATTTCAAACCGCAGATGAGATTCAGGAAAATAAGATGCTGCACATGATGGCAATTTCAACAAAGGATTTCGTACAGTATTTTGAACAGTGGAAGAGAATCTGGGAGAACTGTATGAGGTCCCAAGGTGCCTACTTTAAAGGGGACTGAGGCATCATTGTCCTATGTACAATGTTTCTTATATCTTCTTCAAGAAATGTCTCTATTTGTCATAGTATATGGCAGAACACTTTCTGGACAGACCTCACATACATATGTAAAATATATTAATTGTAATAAAAGGCATTATAGTATAAATAGACATTATAATAATATAATCATATATATATCTGTATATAAAACAACCTTTAATTCTCATTGTGGAACACAGAGCTCCACTTCCTTCAGTGGGATGTGGATTCAGCTGGACTTCAGGTTTACCCACCATCTTTACCATTTAGTAGCTGTCTGCCTAGGGGGAGGTTATTTAGCCGCCCTGTCTCTGCTTCTCACTAAGCTGCCAGATGAGAAGAGGTACTACTCTGGAGGCACTTGGCACCTGCTAGTTGATATTCAATAGACTTATTCCGCCATTCTCTCTGGGAGCCTCTCCTACTCACCTGATCAGCTTCTCGCTCTCAGAACTTAAGAATAAAGCCCCTCCATGGCTGTGGACTGTGTTGGGCCAGGATAGCCTAGTGGCTCAGAGCTGACTTGAGATGAAAATGAATTCACCCTCAGGGTCCACACTTTCAACAGCCCTTACAATTATTCTCTTTGACAGGAGTGTAGGCTGTCCTTTCTGATCTCTTTCTCTTTCCATTTTTGTTCCTATCAGTTTTTTGAGCAGTGAAGCAACTTCTGGCTCCCATTTCAATAGAGAACCAGGGGAAAACCCTCTGAGAATTTCCTTCTTGACAATTCTCCCGAAGGCCACCCTACTCCAAGCTGGCTTCATGAAAGCCTCTGACTTCCATGGAGAGATAGTTTGGTGTCTTTCAAACTATCTTGACTGCAAAACAGAGTGACAATCCTCAAAATTAAAACATAAGTCTATTCACATGCTATTCTAGAATGGGAACATTGTTGCAGTGGGAGATAGGTTATTTTATTGCCATTATTAAAACAAGGAGAATAATTATATTGCTCCTATTTATAATTATTATGGGTTTTCTAGAATGTGCCATTAGGCAGAAAAGGATTGGACTGGCCTATGTTATGGAAGGATGCCCCAAGATACATTACTTGTATTTCCTTTATTCTTAATCCAAGGTTTTAGATAGTTATAATTTAATTTACATATATTAAAACTAAGTGATCTTGCTTTAAAACTTACAGATTTTTGAAATCGAAACTCTTCATATTTTTCTAATTCTTCTTTTAATTCCTTAATCAATTCTTTCTTTTCCTTTAGTTTTTTAAACAAAATAGCTATTTTGGCAGCAGCTGAGTCATGCATAGAAGCCAACTCTTCTTCCACCTCAAAGAATTCCTGGTGGGGGTGAGGGGGGGAGATGAGCAGAGGGAGCAGCATTAAAAATCAGAAACCATGGCTAGCACCACAGAAACCATTTCATGTTTTATTTAAGCTACTGTATTGTAAGTTATTTCATTTTTGTAACTTGCACACAATTTTTAGTAAATGTACTTATCAATATATTGAACAATATGCTTAAGTATCACAGCCCATAGTACAGTATTATCCTATAAAATACAAAACAAGGTATGTAGTCTTACTCAACTGCATCAGTCCTGCAAGTAATAGTAGTAAAGTTTAATAAAGTCACACAATGACTGTGAATGTCCTACTTCAGTCTTCCTCTAAAAAGAGACAGCAACTATTTGAAAATGTAAAAAAGGATGTAAACTAATTTCCTCAATAATTTGAATGGAGATGTGGAAAAAAATAAATACTGTTTTTTTTCTTTTTTTCCCAAAGAAATGGTGTGTTGACCTTTAATCTAGACAAAGTATGCTTCATTTGGAAACTTAAGAAACTGAGACCAGGAATATGCGTTAAAGTAGAGGGGCTTTTAAAAGTTTTTTTTTAATCCCCACCCGAGGATATGTTTTTACTGACTTTAGAGAGAGAGGAAGGGGGACGGGGCGGGGGGGGAAACATCAGTACATCAAGGTGAGAGAGAAAGACCCAGTGGATGCCTCCCATAGTGCCTGCAGCCTGGTGGTGGTGCAGGGGCAGGGTGAGGCTCCAACCAACTGAGCTGCTTGGCCAGGGCAAAATAGAGGATGTGTTTAATGCAAAGTTGTGGCTGAGAACCATCAGGCATAAAAACAGTAATCTTCAGGGTCTAGGTGCATAAACATTCTAAAATTACCTAATTCTAAGATTTCATTCCCCTTCTCTTTGCATGAAGAAAAGATAGTTACATTGTGCTTCTCTTAAAAACCTAATAAACTGTTTTTTGATGACCCTAACCAAATAGAGGTTAATTTTTTAAAAACCCAGTTACAAATTAGTTTGAAGTAAATTATTTTTTTAGCTGCTAGTAACATTTTGTTTTTTTTATTTTTAATATTTTTATTGATTATGCTGTTACAGTTGTTCTATTCCCCCTTTCATTCCCCTCCACATAGAAATGAAGGTCACGTGAAGTAAATTATTATAATATTAGTTGATTTCATCTGTCATATATAGGATTGCCCCTATTTTAGTTCATTTAGGTTATACCTTGAGCATTTCCCATATCATTAACATTTTACACAAACTTATTGCTGATCATATAACATTCTGCTTTATATAAATGCCACAATTTATATAATAATTGTTTTTTAAAGTTTTCCCTTGTACTTAATCTTTATACATAAGTCTCTGTCCACAAATCTGATTTTCTTTTGGTATACGGATTCCTAGAAGTAGAATTTCCAGCCAATGCATATGAATGTTCTAGTGGCCTTGATTCATTTTTAAAAGTTCTTTTTTAAAAAGATTGTTTAATTTATATTTTACCTTGAGTATAAGGATATTTATCTTATGACACTTCCTGAACTATCCTATATTGTCACTTAGAATGTGACAATATGTAAATATACTGTTTTATTTTTGTTTTAATCAGCATGTTTTGATCACCATTCAAGGTGAATTTTTTATATGCTACTCACTATTTACATGTTTTACATTCTGAAAATACTCAGTTTTAATTATGTACCATTTTGTTGAGAACTCAAAATATTTTTAGAACTCCCCTTGCTCTCTATATTAACCAATTTTATTAATTAATTCTGCTATTTTCTTTTTTAATTTTTTTTATTGATTATGCTGTTACAGTTGTTCTATTCCCCCCCTTCATTCCCCTCCACCCTACCCCCCCCCGTCCCCACCATTAACCCCCCTTTAGTTTATGACCATGTGTCTCAAGTCCTTTAGATTCTATATTTCCCATGCTATTCTTGCCCCCCTTCTATTTTCTATCTACTGTCTATACTACTTATTTTCTATACCTTCTCCCCCCTTCTCCTCCTCCCACTCCTCTGTTGCTAACCCTCCTTGAGATCTTCATTTCTATGTTTCCACTCCTGATCTAGCTGTCCTTTTAGTCTGCTTTTGTTTTAGGTGTGGTTGTTAATAACTGTGAGTTTGTTGTCCTTTCACTGTTCATGTTTTTTTTTAACTTCTTTTTCTTAGGTAAGTTCCTTTAACATTTCATATAATAAGGGCTTGATGATAATGAACTCCTTGAATTTGATCTTATCTTAGAATCACTTTATCCGTCCTTCCATTCTCAATGAAAGTTTTGCTGGATAGAGCAATCTTGGTTGTAGGTCTTTGGATTTCATGACTTGGAATACTTCTTTCCAGCCCCTTCTTGCCTGTAAGGTCTCTTTTGAGAAATCAACTGACAGTCTGATGGGGACTCCTTTGTAGGTGACTGTCCCCTTAGCTCTTGCTGCTTCTAGGATTCTCTCCTTCATTTGAATCTTGGCTAATATAATGATGATGTACCTTGCTGTGTTTCTTCTTGGGTCCAACTTCTTTGGGACTCTCTGAGCTTCCTGGATTTCCTGGAAGTCTATTTCCTTTGCCAGATTGAGGAAATTCTCCTTTATTATTTGTTCAAATAAGTTTTCCACTTGTGGCTGTTCCTTTCCCCCTTCTGGTACCCCTATAATTCGGATGTTGGAGTGTTTAAAGATGTCCTGGAGGTTCCTAAGACTCTCCTCATTTTTTTGAATTCTTGCTTCTTCACTCTTTTCTGTTTGGCCATTATTTGCTTTCTTCTGGTCCACTCCATTGATTTGAGTCCCAGTTTCCTTTTCATCGCTATTGGTTTCCTGTGCAATTCCATTCATTTCAATTAGTTTCACCTTCATATATTTGTCTAATTTGTGGCTATAATCAACCAGTTCTGTGAGGATCCTGATTACCAGTGTTTTAAACTGTGCGTCTGAGAGTTTTGCTATTTCTTTATCGCTTAGATTTATAGGCTCTGGGGCTTTGAGATCTTCTTGAGCCATTTTTGGTCTGTTTGCGCCCGTTAAGTATGAGGAGAGGAGCCTTGGATTCCCAGGTCGCTAGGTTGTGAGCTATATGTGGAGGCGGGGTCAGAGTGGGGAAATGGCGCCCCCCTCTGCTGTTTCTTGCAGCTGGGTAAAAAGCAGAGCCTTAGGTTGTTCACTGGGCAGGGCCACTTAGGTCGCTGGGTTATGACGCTATTTGTGGAGGCGGGGTTAGAGCTGGGAAATGGCGGCGCCCTCCACCACAGCTTGCCGCTGGGGCTGCTGGCACTTGTCCAATCGCCCACTCCCTCGCTTGTCTATCCACAAGTGAATGCACGAATGCGCGACCACAGTCAACCCGCAGTCCTGCTTCCTCGCTGTTTCCCGGAAGTTGCTTGCTGAGTTGCCCACCAGGTCCAACCCTGCACCTGGATTCTGCGAGCCTGAGTCCGTCTGACCGAGTTTTCCTGTGCTACCCCACTCTGCCAGCTGCTGGTTTCACCCCTCTTACAGGTCAGGCTGAAGAATTTGTTGTTATCAGACTTAAGAAAAGTTCAATTTTCTGTGTTCTGGCTCTGTTTTCTGTTGCTATTATTTAGTTGTCTCTAAACTTGGTTGTGTGAGGAAGCACGGCATCTCCACCTATGCCTTCATCTTGGTGGAAGTAGTCTAATTCTGCTATTTTCATTGGTTAGAGTATAAGTACCATTTCTTGACAGGCTTTTTTAGCATTTAAGTACTTCCCTGTTCATAATCATTACTCTGAAGAATTGTATCACAAAACCAAAACAGGTAAGAAATGCTTACAAACTAAATGTCATTACTGACTTCCAGCACATAAAAATTTCATTTTCAACACTGACATCAAAACCATAATATCTATTGTGTACTCTTGAGGGAATCACAGAAGAACTATTTTATTTTTATCATAGATTCATTACTAATACACTTGGGCACATGCACAGACAAGAAACAGAGTAAAACCCAATCATACTGCTAATATACTTAATATCATATTTCAAAAAGAGATCTACAAACTAAAATTTCTCTACATTATAATGAACACCAGTAGGCTGAGAAAAATAATATATTGTGGTGGAATTAATAGTCTCAACAGGAAGGCAACGTGGACATACTCTACACAGCGCTAATGTAAAAAATCAGTATATGAATGTGCAGACTTGAGTGAATCTAGAATAATCTATCTGATAACATCACTTCTTAAGTTGGGTGATTTTCAAAGAACAGTATTGATTATGTAGCTCTACCTTTCCCACTTACTTGTAGCTGTGCCTACGAATCAAGTGCTCTTTAGAGGCCAGGACACATCACCCCCCTAGCACCCTGGTATTGCCAGCCATGTCAAACTCAGCAGGTCCCAAAAGAGTTCACCAGCTTCACTGTCATCCTTTCTGTTTTCCCCCATTAACCACAGCACACACTCCAAACCCATTTTCCGTCATTGTAAGTCCCTCTACTCCCTCACCAAATCACCAAATCTGTTCGGTCCGCTCCAAAACCTCTCCTGAACCCAACCTCACCTCTGTCCCACTGCCTTTGCAGTCCTTGCCTTGTTTGCCAGGGCTATTGAAATAGCCTGTTACCTTGCCTCCCTGCCTCCTCTTTTGTGCTCTCCAACCAATCTCCACATTGTGGTCAAAATGATCTTTCTAAAGTGCATCTCTCACAAGCTAAAATCCAACTCTTTTAGCACAGTGCACAAAATAGCACCCTTTACAATCTGCTGCCAGCTTACTTGGCCACTAACTTGTGTTAGCCTTCTCTCCCCTTCCTCCCACCCAAACAGGGCATTTTATCAGTACTGATAGTCAGCATGCAACTTCTCCGAAATGCCATGTTGCCACAGGTCTCTATGTCTTTGCTCTTGGAGGCCCGACCCCAGCTAACAAGCTTCTACTTGTCAGTCAGGCAGAATGGCATTAGAGACTAGCATTAGGTCTGTAGGCCAGCTTTGCAGTCTCTTAGTAGTTCTGTGACCTTGAACAGTTTCTCAGACCCCCTATATCTCAGTTTGGT